GGGGGAGGGGGGGGGGGGGGGCGATAAAGAATTTGTATTTCACTTGCAGCCGCGTCCTTCTACCACTGGTCCATCTTGGTACCTAAAAGTCTTTGTCTGCTGCGAAGATACTCGTACGTGATTGCAATTAACAGGTCTTATCGAAGTCGGCCGTTATTTATTCTTGCTCCACGTGCCATTCTGCGCGCCACGTACAGAATTCGAAGAGACTATCGACTATCTCACGCGCGAGGATGACTCCGCTGATCCATATTCTTCCGTATTTTGCGCTGCTGCGCGATGACAGACCTCGAAGTCCTTCCGCGCTTAATTCAGTTGGGAGTTTTTCTATTTTTAGAATTTTCATGTCTCCCTCCCCCGACCCTGAGCCTTGGCAGGCTGCCAACCAACGGCCAAATTCTCTTTCCTCTCCCCACTCTCTCGGGGTCCAGCACGTGGAGTAGCTGTAGCATTATTGCGTATCGTCGCCACGAACACCAATTCTGACAGCTTCTTCCTGGTTCCACGGAGGTCCTTCGTCCTTCCTAGAGACTATCGTCCATCTCCTCGCTCTTGGTGTACTTCACCCTACGTCTCGTGACCTTTTCCTCCTCAGATCAGACACTCTAAGTACTAGTGTCTCGTTGCGCCTCACGCGACCTAATTGGAAATTAAAAGTGCGGAAAACGTCCGGCAAAGAGTATCGAGCAGATTTGAGAATTTTGTTAAAAAATTATGTGATCGGATCATATCTCATACTCAGGACAGACATATTTTGCCGACTCATTCCCGATCAGCAGAGAATTCCTCAGTGGGAATGCGAGCGATAAGGAACCGTGAATTATCGGCTTGAGCCGTCATAATGAGTGGAGGAGGATACCGGCAAGGGCAGGAAGGAAGGAAGTCGCTCCGATTCAGTTGGGAATTATTTGTTCAGACAGATGGCACCTCGCGTTGTAATTTGCAGAAACGCCCACACGATATCGAGTGACCTCAGACGCTTCTCCACGTGGCCACGTGGCCAACTCCGAAGGTCAGGCAGATTTTATGTCTACCCCTTGCTTTCCCGCTTCGGCCGGTCTACGTGTCGCGCTGCCACGTGTCTCCTGCACGAATTGTCCGATACGTCTTATCGTCTTCTCGCCACTGACTATCCGCCCAAAACGGGACAGGCAGCTGTGCCTTAGATCGCTTTCGTGAAAGGGAACCGCCGAGAGAGAGAGAGAGAGAGAGAGAGAGAGAGAGAGAGAGAGAGAGAGAGAGAGAGAGAGAGAGACAGACACTGTCGTCAGCATGGAAACCGCCAGACACTGCGTAACTCTGATCTCAATTCCAATTAATTTTCTTTCGCTTCTCTTCTTATCCTCCTACTCTCCTTCCTCCTCTCCTCTCCTCTTCGCTGGTTCTCGCTGTCACCGTGACTCCAGTCTCTAGTCCACCTTTCCGAAATGAACATCCGGCTGCATGCTATACGTGCTATGGGCGCATTACGGTATTGTACCCCTTCACCCAGGGATCCCGGCTGGCGAGTCTCGCCTGGTGGTAGAAAGATTAAGTCAGAAGAACGTGCCTACTTCTCTTGATCCTTTCTCTGCCGTGTTAAGCGCGTCGCTTGGAGACTCTTTACCATTTTCGTCCCGCTTCGACGTCTGATTGATCGTCGGGTTCGATTCTCGATAAGGAACATTGATTCACTCGACTATATCGAAGGAGCTCTCAGTCCCTCTTGCCTGGGTTAAGCAGGAATCGTTAATTCTTGGACGCGTACGCAGTGCACTTCGCAAGGCAGCTTCCTTTTTGGGAAGGTATAATTTCCTAAGAGTTGCGTAGCTATAGGCTAAAGTTATTTCGAATCCTCATCCAAGACACTAAATCATCTATAGGTCGTCGCATTTCTGTTTCAGAAGAGGAAATCGACGTAGTGTCTTTCGACAAACCGTCGAGACCTGCTGCTCTGCCGACCTACCCGAGTCCTGCGGATCATCATCGCTTTCAGCTGACGGTTAATACAGCACTGAAAGATAAGCCGCAATCAAGACCGCGCGGCAGACCACCGTCGAACAACAGTCCACGGAAGCGGAGTGCCCAGGCCGAGACGAAACCAGCAAAGCGTGCGAAACAAAGGACTTACCAGAAGCGCAGCAAAGTTACGAAAGCTGCCGCGGTCGCGGCCGCAGCGGCAGCCAATAGTTCCGGCATGATGTCGAATAAATCGAGTTCGGCCTCGAGGAGCAGCAGCGACGAGGAACCGGACACGGAGAAAAGGAGCATCCACAACAACATGGAGAGGCAGAGGAGAATAGAGCTCAGAAATGCATTCGAGGAGCTCAGGGTACTCGTGCCGGAAGTCGAGATGAAGGAGAAGGCGCCGAAGGTCGCGATTTTGAGGCAGGCAGCCATCTACTGTGATATGCTAACGGAAGTCAGTCAGGTCACCATAGAGAAGGTGACGGAAATGAAGATGCGCCAGGAGAGGTTGCGAGCGCGACTCAGGGAACTCAGGAGAAGTTTGGCATCCGCACGTTGAAACGTAACGTTGGCTGATTTCACTTTGATCTCGGAGTTCAGTCGATGCGACGGGATCGATGTGTTCTGTGGCGACACTGCTCGTGGTTGGGACGTGTCGTGCTGCCCCGGTACCGGATACCTGGGGATCCTGCCTGGACATGCATTATGCACCAGGAACTTCCGGGGTACGTTCATCGTGTTCTTCTAGGATGATGCGATATGGCTCTGGGTGTGACGTAGTCGATAACCATTAGCTGTATATAAGAGGGAGGGCCGATTGCCTGTGCGTGAAAATTAAAGGAAGAGTAGTGATACCTTTAGGAACGTTTACTATGTATAAAACGCAGTGTACGATATATGATCGAGGTCGTTTGCTCGGACCGGTTTAGGAAATTTTTAGTTTTTTTTTTTCGCAAATTCTTTTCTTTATTATTATTTCTTTCTTAGGAAAATGCAGCGTTGCACTCTTTTTTTTTTTTTCTTTAATAAACGTACGTGCACTTTTCTGTTCGCTGACTCTCTTTGTTGGACAGAGGAGATTTTTAAAAATTCTGCTTTGCAATATCTGGTTTTTTTTTCAGTTTCTCTCAGACTTAGTTTTATATCTCACGGGGGATCGTCCGGTATGTGATTGGCTGTGCTTTCGTGATTTTTACTCTCCTTATCGTTCTTTCGCGTTTCCCGCGAATTCACGTCAAGCGCTACTGTTTCTTATGGACGCAGAATAAGAGGTATCCTCGACCGGTTCGGGGTTCATTAAATTCGTCGTTAATAGGAATTCTCGAGGAACGTGGGTCTCGTTTATTGTCTCCCGGCTTTACACGATTGCGTATACATATACTGGGAGTCGCAGAAACGTGCACGTATCGCATGCATCCCGTAGGATGCAACAACCTACAGATAAATGCGTCTGCATCGTGGAGCGTTATTCACGGACAAAATTTTGGGACACACTATATATATGTATATATGTGTATACATACTATTGCGGTCCCGAAAGTCGTAGCAAGTATATTGCAAAGTATGCTAAGACGAAAATGCATATAGATAACTATATAATTACAATACATAGATAGAATAGATAGCGGATATAAAATTAATTATATAAAATCATATGTAATTAATGTACATAAAGTTACGCGCCCCCTTTCTTTTTTACATGACCTGGTTAGTGACTCTTATTCTTTTGGCGGGCGAAACTCTAGTGTGTTTCTTTTTTTTTTTGTTTTCCAATCGAGTCTCTCCACCGTTTTATCTTTCATTTTTCTTTTCGTCTTTACTTTTTTTCTCTTTTTATCTCTCTCCATATCGCGCAGGACCTATTCGCTTGGAATTCTGTTTCTTTTTTTTTTTTTAACTTGGCACTACTCTCCGCTTCCATACTTGTTCCTGTCCCTCGTAGCCGCTTCCACTGCTCGCGGAAACAGGTGCAACCAGATATTCGTTTATGCATGTTCCACGTGTTTTATTAAAAAAAAAAAGGTCATTTCGGCAGGGAAAGAGAACGAATGAGACGCGAAGTAAAATTTAATGAGAACGAGAATACGTAAAGTGCATAAAACTTAATAGAGCCTTTTTTCGTTTTGAGGTCGGTTAAAAAAAATGAAAGAAACGCTTAATCCGCATGCGTGATTCAGACGATCACCCCTATCCCGAGCATCCTCCTCCCCCCCAGCCGCCTCCTCCTCGCCGCTTTAGCCGACTGGCGCCGCTTATCCTTAAGATACCTATATATATACGTTTCATTTTTTACCTCAACATTAACCTTGGCCGTGACGGTTTTTACGCTTTTAGTGCCGACGGCCGAACGTTCGCGCTGTGCAGGGACGCAATGTATATTTGTTTTTCTATGAAAGGGCCCTTACGTCTTATACCTCGCTAAGAACCATCCTCTCGCGCTTCCGTCTATTCTCTATCGATTGTCATGTTTTTTTTAACGCGAAATGCTCGGAAAGAATTCGCAAGTGTTCCGGAAGCTGTACCCGTGCCCAAATGCTTTGCGCGTGTCCCTTCTTCCGATTTCTTTTTCTTCCTTTATTTTTTCTCTTTTATTAACGACTCGACAGTCCGTCGCTCGGATGACTCACGCAGTAGGCAAATTTTTAACGCGTTATGTGGTGTATAAAAGTTTCTACAAAGAATTAACTATACGTATAGTAATGAACGATGCTATAGGCGAGGACGCTAATTATTCATTATCTTTATTCATTAATCAATCGCATACCACACGGTAAATACTTTGAGTGTGAATATTATTATATTTACCATTAATATCATCGCTATATTATTGCTATTACTATTATTATATATTATTATTATAATATAATTATTGTAGATCTAGCTATATTATCGCCACTATGGTCTCACCGTGTACTATCTTGACGTATTTTCGTTAAATTGTAGTTGTACTACTATTTTTCATTTTGTTCTTGTTTATTCCTATCGAATGTGGTATAGATGTAGAGCGTCAGGAAAGGCTAGGTGTGCATACTATTAACGGAGTGTTGATCGCTTTAATCGAGAGCGAGTCAGATGCGTGTCATTTCAGGAAGAAACAATGTGTTCATTACATTAGTAGGCACTAGTATTCGTTTATATATATATATACATACATACATATATATACACAATACTTACATATATACTTTTACAGAAAATAAGTAACGGATTTAAAAAGAAAAAATAAAGAAATAAACCGAGGGAGTAACGGGGAAAAGATCGTAGCTAAAATTACGAGGGGAGCTTGCTGCTGCTCGGAGAGACACGAGGAGACGAAAGCGAAAGAGGCAATAGAAATGAAGTGTGAAATACTGGGAAGATGGGGAGTACCCAGTAGGAAAGATTACTTGGCTAATTTTTAGCGCGAATGATAATTGCGAAAAGGTGCGAATAAATAGATGGATGAAGAAGCAATTGAAGTGTTTAATGATTAAATGAGGGGCGTGTGGTTCCTGCGTGCGTCAGAGACTGTGCGTGGCGGAGGGAATGTGCGCACGCGTGTCATTTTATATCGAGGAGCATAACTACATTTATTAAGAATAATTAATACAGTAACAGAGAAGAAGAAAAAAAAAACCTGAATCGCAACTCAAGTGCTTCACATAGCGTTAGTATATAGATCTAAGGAGGGACGATCGGGGCGATTTATATACTATATATACACACATATTCGTATACCTATACATAAACGAAAACGGACCTTCGTATTAAAATTAAAAGCCAATTGGTCCGCTGCTCACGTTAGTACCGATTTGCAATTCGCGTTTCCTTGGGTCCTCCTCGCGCCTCTCGATACCTGAATCGTGGATCGATCATTACGCCAGAGCTACGCGTTCACTTTTACTTCAGTTTACTGAGCTCCATACAATTCTTTCTCTCTTCGTTTTAACCAAACGATTCGTGCGATTGAGAGTTTTCTCTTTTATTTTCTTTTTTTTCTCTACCCTGACGACAACCGACAGTTACTAGATTGAGTTGACAATGAGTTTTTTTTTCTTTTTTTTTTTTTCTTTTGCCTAACTGCTGGAATTACCCATTAGTGGATCTTATATTTTTAAATGTACTTTTAACTCGTTTATCATCAAGTCTTGATTAGGGCATTTTGCACATTTTTTATTTTCTTATTCTCAGCTTGGAAAAGGCCGAAACAATGCAGCCAAGAGATATGGTCCATGATTTTCTTTTTTTCTCTTTTGGAGGGGGGGGGGGGTGAAAGGTCTTATCTTTTTTGGACAATTTTATTTACCGGAAACTCATGCGACACCCACGTGTAACCTACGGGAACGTTTGAGAAGTGCAGAAGAACGGAGGAGAAATTACCATGACGTTGGTCGTCGACGCAATCGTCATTTCCGGTCTTCTTGGGTCGCGCGCATGCATAATCACTTGAAGAAATATCATTACATCTCACGGCCAAAGATGGGCACGGACCTTCCTCCTTTGTGATCGTATTACGTAATCGTCTCCTCGCATCTTCACACTCTGACGTTCAATTTTTCCTTACTTTTTTTTTTTTTTTTAAATCGTTTGCCTTTTTCTCTATCACTTTTTTTTTTACACACTTTAAGACGGACACGCCCACGCCATCATGGACGGACATGACTTTATTGTCTGGCAGTTTCGCTTGGCCGGCCGAGGACCCTGGGATTCTGTCGGGGTTTTTTTTTTTTTTTTTTTTTTTTTTTTTTTTTTTTTTTTTTTTTTTTTTTTTAATACCGAAGCAGTTCTCCAGGACGCTTTTCTTTTTATATATTTATATACAAATATATATACTTGTATACATAAACATGTACTCTATGCTATATAGATAATGGTCAATGCTCGATCCTTCGAGCCGGAAAGGCATTGTTTAGCGCTCGCCCGCACCGCCGTCGCCATCAGTTTAGAGGACAAGAAGAAGTCGAAGAAGTTATGGAGAAATTAAAGAAAAAGAAAGGAAAGGAAAAAAAAATGAAAAATTGTTAAACAAATGAGTGCAAACGTACCTGCTAGCCACATAGACATTTACGCGTTATGATAGTTAATGGTGAACGGTAGCGAATGGCGCGGAGTACGAGGAGACACTATGAAAACCACACGTTTTATTGTCTTACATTTATCATAGATCCCTGGTACTGCTCCGTTCTTTGCTACTACGTTACATCTTGGAATATTGTTTGTTTCTGTTCTTGACCTTTTTTTTTTGTTTCGTTACGATTAATACTGAAAAATTTAAGTGACTTCGGTTAAATATCCACGGATATGTGAAATCGTACCGATTTTGATACGCGTTACGTAGAGATATTTTATGCACAGCTAACTGTTAAGACGTGCGCGAATCCATTGAAAAGAGCCGCAGCATACAGATTAGACGGACGAACGTAGAGAGCAACAGAAGTTACATGTACCTATAAATTGGCAGTCAGATGCGCCTGAAATACTGCATCCTATATGAAATACGTGCACGCACACCGTATCCGTTAATGTCATATGAACTGAAAATACGAAATATATAGTTTGCTATTGTACAATAAAGTGCTTAATATTAAAGGGAAGTTGCGAGAGAAATGAAGGTACGATGAGCAAATGGATGTGAGAGACAGAAAGACTGTGAATGAACGTTGCGAGAGAAACTTAGACGGGCTAGTAACAGCAGCGAGAGAGAGAGAGAGAGAGAGTGCGCGTGCGTGAGTGTAAGTTAAACGAGAACGTTGCGAGAGAAACTTAGACGGGCTAGTAACAGCAGCGAGAGAGAGAGAGAGAGAGAGAGTGCGCGTGCGTGAGTGTAAGTTAAACGAAATGATAGTTTATAAAAGAATGTTAGCTTCCTTTTATATTCAGAGTAAAAAAGAAAATACAATATTTTTATTTATCCCTTTATTTTTATACGTTATCAAAAGTCGCACACGAGCTCATTCAAGAAAATAATGAAGTAACAGTTTATGAAAATCGTTGAAATGTATACAAAATAAAAAAAAAACGCAAAACAAGGAGTAATCTCTCCGTGAGAAACACGAGGCACCGACATCCTCTCCGTGCTTTTTTTTTTCTTTCGATAGATTGATGGCGGTGGATTTCGAAACCAAAAAAAGGCTGTTCCAACCTTTCATCGAATGAAACGGAATCGACAGTCGTGTAAACTCGAAAAAATGGGACAAAACTAAAAATATATATATATAGACTAAAATAGACGAATCACGAAGAACAGATCCAGGATATGGTTGAACTAAGTTACATACCGTACAGAATCTCTTATTTTTGCAAGAAACTGTTGAACGATTTGAGAGAATATAAAAAATGATAATTTGAAACAAAATCACGGCTGCATGACAATACGTGATCTCGCGTAACATTGAAAATCATAGTTCTTTAAAAAAAAAAAAAAAAAGGAAAAAGAATTTGTTTTTATTCCAGTGCAAAACTTTATAAAGACTCGGGCCACTTTGTAACTAAAAGTTTGATACTTTGAAAATCAGAGACTTCGAAATTCATTCGGAAGATTTTGAAATGTCACTTTTTGGAAAATTCTCCAGTGCACCGGTGACTCGAGCATTGAACTAATTAAGAAAAGTCAAAAGTACCGTCACAGCCTAAATAGTCAAGTACTATGAATATCTATGAAAATGCCTCCCCGATGTAAGCGAGAGAATGGAACATGCGAGTCAAAGCACATTTTGCAAAATAAATGTAACAATAATGATTTAGATATATGAAAAGTAACATTTACACGGAAACTACTATTTACTATTGTATACTCCTCGCCACTGTAGGATGGGCAGGAAAATCATTGTACACGGAAAGCTTGTTTCTTTTTCTTGCATAAAGGAGAATCGCGTGTGTCAGAGAGTCTGCGAGAGAGGTATGAACGAGAGATAGTGAGATAGTGAGATAGTGAGAGAGCGAGAGAGTGAGAGTGCGAGAGTGAGAATGAAAAAGAAAAGAGTTACGTGCGTAAGAAGGGAAAAAAAGAATTTTTGTTGTACTTAAAAGAACTCGTATAGTTCGCATCAAATAACGGAAATGGCGCTCGAATTTCTAGTATATGTTAAAAAAAAATTAAAAAACGAAAGTGACTCGTACGTCACATTCGAAGGATGCACGTACACACAGCGAGAGTGCTCTTCATTTTTTTTTTTTGATCGAGCAACGACTCGCAAGAAACGGAAGTCGAATGATATAAACTTTAATGAAGAAATTCATTGAGTACGAGGACTTCCGGTCTTGTGATACGCCACGTGCATCGTCGTCACGCCACACGCATATTTTGTTGAAAGATTTCACGATACGATGATGGTTTTCTTTTTAAGAAAAAGGGTCATACAGTTCCTTAACATTTATATTTCAAATTATCTTATATTAATTAATAAAACGCTATATCATTTATGTCCAATATTTTATTAGATCTTTCCTGTACTTTTACCCGTTTTAGGATTAGTCTGTTTAAAATTATTATTATTATCTGTTATTGATCTTCTGGAATCTTTCCATGAAATTTATTCTACCAGGCCTGTTTGAAGGTAAAAGTTTTCTGTCCACGAATTAAATCTGATCCAAAAGTCTGGTCATAATCCATGACCTCGACATACGTTAGCCAGGTGGGACCAATTAGGCTATTAAATGCGATAATTATGGAAAGTAGAAGTAATAGTTTTTAGAATAAAGTCAATTAAATTTTTTTTTATAGATGCTAATGGCACAGCAGAATTTTATTGGTTCTATTACTTCTGTGCGACTAGAAGGCATCCGTATAAAGTTTACGCACGGCGATGCATCCTAGTACGTGACTAGACGAAGATTTATCATTCATACCGTTTCTCTGAGAAGATTCTCACCGGTTAGTTTGAAAATCGTCTTGAACGTAATAAAAAAAAAAGGTAATTCCAAGAAAGGCAGGCAGATCATATTTTGCGAATTCTTAGAATTTCCTCGGTCCCAATGATATTCCCAAAAAAGATATTTATATACTATAGCTTTATCACATTTTCACGATTAGATAATACTCTGAGCATATTTAGATAAATGAATTATATGTATAACCACGAGTAACTTAAAATTTTCTACTGTGAGAAAAAGATAAGGTGGTTGCAAGGGTATGAATAAGGATAAGGGCCTGTGACACACTATACCACCGCGATAACTCTGTATCTGGCTTCCAGATATACAGAATGATTGGGTTGTTTCATTTCCTCGAAAAAATCTACTTTGATATTCGCTATCTGCAACTCCGTCTTGCGGTATAGTCGGCATATCGTTTTTTTTTCTCACACGCGTCCGTTACAATCTAAAATAATCTTGCAACAGTGAAAATATTATTTTTAATATTTATGAAAAATATTACAGATCAGAGGCTGACGAGATCCTTCAAATGTATGCATTGTATACATAGAGTGACGTCGCGCGACAATTATGCTTAGATTTCGATTGAGGGCGCGCAATACGCTTTGGCTCGTAATTCCTAATGTCGTTTCAGGGCCTAAAGCATTCAGCTATCTCAAATGTTCTCAAGGCTGATTCCTATAGTCACGCTCTGCTCGCCCCGACGTTACTCTGATTCGCCTGAATTCGCGATAAGGAACACCTCTGTTATTTCTTACCACTCCTCTGTACACACGTATCGTTGCACACTATACTATTCTCCAACACAATATTCAGAGATGTATATAATTTGATTTTCTTGTTCACAGAGCTGCAGTATATGTATAGCATTTTTCGTTTACACCAGGCTATATCGGAAATCGTGTCGCGTTACACAGAAACGTTATAATATTAACGATACAAGGTATGCAACGTGTAACGTGGCACGAATTCTCTGACACAGCTCGACTTTATCTGATCACGGCAGTCTAACGCTATTCTAATGTCTCGTATCTATAGGCTAAGATGTATCTCTAGATACGCCTGGAGACTATTTGAAATCTTAGAACGTCGTCGCTACTTGAAAAAGTTGTCTTGCTGGCTGCCTCTCCTGGCATTCGGAATTTCCCGGTACTTTTAAGTCTTTAACTTTTTGGAATAATCTCATGAAGGTGATACAATTGCTTCGCATTTATCCAGGACGTTTACACAAGTATATTTTGTTCTGGTAAAGCATTGCGACTGTGCCGTATCGATCAGTTGTTTCCTAGACGCAGAAAATCAATTTTCATTCGGTAGGGTGCGGCAGAGTGCATTAGACAGAGTCTGCAAATGACGAGACTGTACTACTAGTCAGCCAATTCGAGAGCCGAGGACGGCTCTTGGTGGATTCCGTTAGTGACTTTCTAGTGATTTTTTCACGGGGCCACGACTGGCCTGAACGCGCGGAACGTCTGGAACACAGCGGGCCCGCGCATGCGCGCTGAGTGACGTAAAGTAATGGTGGACCTGTGTGAAATTGTGATGTCGCGTGTGCCCATTCTTGTGATTTTAGGTGCCACAGGCTCAGGAAAGTCGCGACTGGGCATCGAATTGGCTCAGCGATTTTCCGGGGAAATTATCTCAGCAGACAGTATGCAGGTGAGTCTCATGTAGTACGTATGAATATGTAGACTGGTGCTCTGTCCGACTAGCATGTGCTTGTAGGTTAGAAAGGACTGAGCACGAGGTCGTTCATACCAACGACACGAGGCCTGTTTATTTATGGATCATCCCTATTTTCTGTGTATATCATTTTTGTTCCTTTTTATCAAGACGTTCTTTATTGTCCCATGGGCGTTATATATGTCCACGGAAAGGGAACAAAATAGTTGCATAAACACGGTAGATGTCTCGTTGTGCTGACGTTCAAAATGTTTTCTGTGACACAAATTTCGTAAACATTCTTATACATTTTTTGTTTTATTATAAAAAATTAGTACAGCGTCTTGTCTAATACTTCAATCTACAAGATTAACTTTTTATCTTGCGCTTTATCTCTTACATATCATATAATTTATGAAATAGTATAGATTGTCAAACGTTCCGAAAGAATAACATGGCTCGTGGACGTTAGATATTTCATTAATTACGTAAATTTAACCTTTAATCTTGTTTCCCTATAATTTAAATAAATCTGATATCCTTCAGGGTCACTGCTATCTCTGTTTATTTGCATAATTTTGTATCAAAATTTGATTCCCTTCGTTAAGACATACAGAATAGAAAACGACTTCCACAGTTTCTACAGTATAAATTGGGCTCGATAGGGACTGCGAAAAGTCGTCATTGGTCCAAGGCCATAGAGACCCACGTGGCAGTTGCGCAAGAGTCATAAATTCGTCGTTTATATCGTTTCGCCCTCAGTTCGCGAACATTTTAATCTTATCAGGCATTCTGAATTACAAGCATGTAATAGGCGTGAGTGTGAAGCAAAGGTGGGAAAGGACCACACGTGTGTGAATTCGTTGGCATGTCCAGACGCACGTTGTTTCACGTTTGGTATCGTTTAAATGGACTCAAGTCACAAGCCATGTGAATTTCACGTCACACTTCCGTCCTAACTCTTTTCCGGTCTACACGCATTTCGTATTCCACGCATGTACTTAAGTATGTAGTATATACATCCATGAAGTTTCAGGCGAATAGTTAACCAAGTGTTTGACCTATCCACGCGACCTTTGAATTACATTTTTCATTTCTGTCGACTGTACCATTACGTGTCACGTTACCCGGAAGATATTTACTCGTGAAAATACATCTTTATAACTATTCATCAGGGAGACTGTCGCTCCTACTTTGTCCTCTGTCCTCTCTCTTCGTTTGGAAGATTCCTTAGGTGTGTCATCACACATGATCAAGTTGAGTGTACGATATCGAATATGTGCCGTGGAAAAAAAAAAAGATATTTACAAAAATGCACTAAGTATCTCTATTGTGCTATTTTTGAAAAATTAAAAGTACAGTGATTTCACAGGCGGTAGCGCGCATTAAACCCCTGTGATGAATTCCCATGGTATTCTACGTTTAGACGGCCGGCTTCTAGTCCTGTGACGTAACTCCCAGTACTAAAACGTAGTTCTTCCGAAGGCACGAGTCTCGAGCCTATGTTATAGCCCACGTGTTTCGGTTTGTTGATATTTTATAGTACTATTGACCTCCGGATTCGCGTCCACTCACCGGCCTCGCAAGCGCCGATCCTTGAATTTGAAATAGTTTCGACGTTCCGAGCGAATCCCGCCGCGTGTTCCGAATTAAGCAGCTCGTTACAATGTGAGAATCATTTGGTGACAATTGACAAATATATTTCGTCGATGCTAATACCTTCTCGTTATCTCGGCACAACCTCCTTTGGCCGTGACACTGTAGGCGAGGGGTAATTAGAAATGTGGAAAGCTTTGTATTATCATGTATATAGAGTACTATCTGACGTATTGACTTTGACCATCCAACGTAATACTATACTTTTATCATTTTACATTCGTATTGACGATTTCATCACGAAAATGAGTCGCGTCAATATTCACGCATTTTTTGGAATGTTACATTGAAAAAAAAAAAATATACAGTTGGTTCGAGTAAATTAGCGTTCACGGACGTTGAAACAAATTTGTAGTTGGTAAAACGAAATTGTTCGTTGCTTTAACATGTATTCCGTTCAACGGACTAAAATACGAAAGGCTGTTGCGTTTTCGAAAAATTTCTTTCGTCAGCCGTCAACTCTAATTTAGTAAATTCCACAGTATATTTGTCCCAGCGTCCCGATAGCTTCTCAACGAGCTACGTGCTCTTGGGCGACTCGTATGTAATTACCTAGTTCATTGAACCGCAATTACAGTCGAATAGAAAATTCTCGTAGTTCTCGACTTCTCGTACGGCTCTAAGGTTCTTCGTAATGTAATTTCATTTACTTTCATAGTCTACAAACGTAAAAGGAAATTGGCAGGATGTCTCCGGTATCTGTAAATCGCGGTACTCTCGGTACTTCTCGAGTGCTCGTGCACTCCCCTCGATATATGAATATATACGGTGATCATTTTTCGCGAATAGATCTTTGGCGCGACCGATGGACCGTGAATGTCTCGGTTTTCGATCGCGCGTTGGCAGACTGGAGAATTCCTATGTGTAACGCGCGAAGGTTCGACGGGGGAGATGTCGATGTTCTTTCGGCTTGTTGCGCAGTTGCGGAGTGCAAGGTCGCGCTTCCCGAGCCAAGGTTACAGAGGAGAAGTTCGAAGTTGCTGGTACGGGATTGTCGAGCGTCGTCACTTCCCGAGCCACGTGGAAGGCGGCTCCCTTTTACGGTGTATCCGCTAATCGGTAATCAATGGCGAATGTCAACGGCGTCGCCTCCGTCGGCGCTTTGACCGAGCGGCGATCAATCGGCCGCAAAGGCTTTCGAATGAGAACAATCCTGCGAAAGAGTTTAGCCGGTGGACGTAATCCCATCTCTTGTGGAATGCACATTCCATAAGAGAGTCCGACAGGCAATCGCATCTGACTCACTCGGTCAGTGCCATTTACTTCTGACATTATAAGCTTTCCAGCTACACGTGGGTAAGCGTAGGGAATTGCGATGACGTCACAGCTGAATATAATTGAATTTACATGGAAACTATTCAATATTATTACATCTTCCAACGAATCCAGCACACGCCGGACGTCGTGTGTCACATTATAATTTTTCTATTGCCTTCGTCAGGAACGTCCGTAAAAGCGCCCAGGCGACTTTCCCGACCTCCGAGACGCGAAGGGGCCATGGTGTAGCGTCACGACGTGACATAAGAATCCTTATGGATTAACTTAACAATCGAAAGTACTTATCCCGCTCCTCGAGTCTCTTACGTAATCGGGCTGCGCCGTGGAATTCGTATTGGAATATATACGACGTTTCCTAGATAAATTTACAAATATGCGAGTCCCTCTCGTAGGGAGGACGCGTGTGCGTGTGTCCGAGCAGCAATTCCCGGCTTGGAAACACGCTGGAATTTCGTCGTCAGCCGCGAAGCCAAATAGAGCCTAAACCGGCCATTGAACTTGGAACCAGGTACACGGGCAGGTACGCGCAGACTCGTACTCAGGAGCGTACGGCAAGAGTGTGGGTGCCCATTCGATACGTATCAGGCGTTACGGAAAAAAAAAGCAGGACAAGCAAGTGACCTGGTTTGTGCTATTTAAACAAATCTTTTAACGGGTCTTCCGGATCAGCTATGAGTTTATCTTCCAGCATCTCCGCACGATCGGTCGCTCATCTGGATCATACGTTTCCCCTTGATTAATTACTCGTCAGAAGCGCCACCGGGTCGAAACCAATAATTAATATTCACTTTGTGCTCGGTCGAAGTCTTTCTTAATGTACACACTAAATGGCTTGTACTCATTTGTTATATTTTTTTCTTTTACAATGCCTGAAAATCTCTTTCACGTGTTAAAAGACACGCACTGTATATATACGAGCACCCACGCATAATTTTCTCGCGACTTCGACCTTCGCTTCATTTTTTCTCTCCTTTATTCTTACCTGCCTCCCCCCGTCATCTCCACCTTCCGACCTTCCCGTCAGCCTCCCATGGACCCTCGGATCTGGCCGAGCTACCACCAGACATTCCGCACGTGCCAATTCTCTATTCGCGTTCGCGAATAAAGAGAAGCCTGACGCGTATCATGAATTTCGCGCGGATCCACGTCTTCTTCATGGACGCGTCTCGAGGTCGGTTTATTTATTTAAAAAATTATCTATTGCGGTTCGTCCGTTCGGTATCTGAGCCCAGCCGAATTACGTGGACGACCATGTCCATACTGTGCACGCATGTGTGCCATTACTTGGGGGCAGCCGAGAAATAATTAATTGTCGATGAATCGTAACGTGGCGTTTGATCTACCGCCTGTACGCACCTACGCAACGTTCGAGGGACTCTGGACCGGTTTCCACTCGATAAGAGGATGACGTGAGAAACTGGGTGTACCAGATCCGTTGAGTTCGGCTGGTGAGAAGGAGGCGAAGGGCATAACGAGGATCGGCCGAACGAGAGGGATGCGTGCATAGGATGTAGTATTACTGCTCGCGTGGAAGCGGCGATCCCGAGGATCATTCCGAATAACGTATGCAGTATACGTGAGATGAAGGGTGGTAGGGAGGACCAAGAGAATTTCGACTGGTCGGCGAGTGCAGCACGAGAGGACCCCTGCGCCCAGCATTGCGATCTCTGGACCAGTTCGCGTGCAGACTATACCATACAGACTCCTTAGAGAATCCTGACTTGATCCGCCTCAGCGTGGAGTCTACGGAGTTCCCTATGGGCTACTTCGTATAAACGTCCGATTTGTGCCTGAGAAAGGATTAATACAATTGTCCTGCGTATCGTTCTCATTAATTCTCATTATCGTATATACCGCACCGGGTCTCTGTAGCCAGAAATTCTTATTGCACGGTCAATTAGTACATCTTTCGTTTCATTTTTAACTTGCTTGAGATATACCAGTCGAATCGTATGAGATTCGATATCTCGCCATTAGACACATTCAATCGTTTCGGATAAAGGCCAGCGTGAAAGGAGTTCGATGATCCCGGCCACTCGAATTCTCAGCTCGTTCCTCCTTCCTTCGCTCGTTCCTTTCCCACTGGGCTTCTGGGCTTCTGGGCTCCGGATCAACGTCACAGAATGGCTCACTCGCCGTGTCTCGGGATATACACGCATCGATTATCAGGCACCTGTCCTTTCCAGAGCCACTGCCAAGGACAAACGAATACCGTCAGTGCAGCCAATCTTGACAGTGGGTCTACGTGCCTCTAGCGCGATGCTATAACGAATTGTTCTCGGGGTCGCACGTGGACCGAGATTGGCTGACTGAATGACTCCGAATGAATGACTCCGACTACCCGACTGCCTTTCGTACCGATCCGCACGACTTTTACGTCCTCCTGTCCTTCGAGGCCCAATCCCTCAATTCTTAACTTTGGATCGCTCCGGATTTACGTTTGATGCTGAATAGTCTGCGCGAAAGTGTAATCATTTTCATTTTCATTGGGAAAGTTTCTCTGGCTGGAGATTTTTCACAGATTTTCTTCTATCGGAGAAACTACGGTAAGAAGGCATTTTGCCGTGGTCCATGGTTACAGGATCATTTCTTTGGCGCATACGAAAGTACACGTTACGGAATGTAAGGGCCTGTTACTTCCGTTCGCTACTGCACGGTGTAACGTTACCGGCGGAAGTTACCACACGAGTCTTATCCGTCTGTGGGAGGACCGTGAGTCATGATTCTTCTGGAATCGTCGTGGACCTTTTGAATGTATCGTGTGACTGTGCTGACTGTCGGGGTCTCTTATGGAGGTTCGGATGCTGGAATTCGTAATTTGCCATACATACTTTATTGTGATATCTGATTGAAGAATTTCCGGTGATACGCTCCATCTCTCAGACCTATTTGTCGCGGTTCTCTTGACTCTCCAGCCGATTCCGATAAATCCAAACGAGCTGGGACGAAAAAGCAGGCCACGATGAATGAAGCGGAACGATCCTAGGCTCCAGTCATTGAGAAAAGGCGTGGATGTCGTCTCTATTGGATGCTGGAACTTTAATCTAAAACCAGTTTCCTTCGGTTCGCGTCGACGTGGTACGCTCGGAGACGAGCCCTGAAATACTTTATGGAATATTAAATATCATCGAGTATTACCTTAAATATTTACCTTAGAGGATCACACAGTCGAGGACCTCTCGACTACGATTTTATCCTGAGAGGTAGCTCCAGCCACCTGCCGACAGGTGAATCGCGGATAACGAGTTTATTGCACGAATGTAGCTCGGGATACTTACGTTAGCTGATTATTATGTTTTCTTTTTTAATATCTTTTTATAGTTGTTAACTTGCTCTCCTTAACGTTTCCTTGAGTCTTTTTATACCATTTTTATACCTTATATCTCATATGATATTCGCATAGCGAAGCTTATATTTAATTAATTAGCTTTTATCTCACGTCACTCGGTACTCGGTGTGGTTTTTTTAAGGATATTTTGAGAAATCTATGGACCATTTTATAAATGAACAGATCGTAATCGTAGACGGAACCCTGTCTGGTAATCCTGAATATTTCGGAGGTATCATCCCACTGATCTAGACGCACCGAAGTTCACCTGTTCGGTGGATTCACCTGTTGTCCGGTATCGTGATCCCGTAGCCCGTAGCCACCCGGCTCTATCGCGTCCTTGTTTTTTCTTACTTTTGTTTTCTATTCAAAAAATTTAAACTCAAGCTCGGCTTTTTGTTTTAGGTTTACAAAGGACTGGACATTATCACAGCGAAAGTTACCAAAGAGGAACGAGCCATGGCGCCACATCACATGCTGGATATTTGTGATCCTCTGACTCACTGTTCTGTGGTGGACTTCAGGAACAAGGCTCTGCCGATCGTATCCTTTTCTAATGTTGCGTCAGGCAATATTTAGACTGTATAATCTTAAGGGGTTTACATCTTGGAACTTGATAACCTTAATCGATCTAGATGGACAATCTTCTCTCGACTAATAAACTGCCCATCATAGTGGGTGGTACCAACTACTATATAGAGTCTCTGCTGTGGGAGATTCTGGTTCAGGATCCCGAGGAATCCGTCAAGACTTCGAAGAATGCTGATTGGAAAATCAGTAGTGATCTTTCATGTGATAAGAAAAGTGATAACGTTTCTAAGAGTGACAGTGATAACGCGAATGTTAACGAACGGGATGACGACGAGCAGGATCATCCGCCGAAGAAGAAGATGAAGCTCGAGGAAAGTAACAAGGAACTACACAGGAAGTTGGCCGCTATCGATCCGGAAATGGCTAACAGACTTCATCCAAACAATCGGCGAAAGGTCATTCGGTGAGCTTTTCTTTTTATTTATTTGCATCACATCATGAGCATTTTTTGTAATCGGAAACCCTGAGGAATCCATTTTTGTGTCGACTATGCTCTGACCCAGTTCGTGGTATTGACTCGGTGGAATAATAAAGCACCGGATGTTGCTCTCTGCTGAATAATCGAAACGGCCTGTTCCGCAGCCGCCATTGTTTTCAAAATTTAAATAATCAATGACTCCGCTGATTAAATAGTCAATCGCGTTTTATGCCTTGCTAAAGAATAGACGAACGTCGTGCGCGGAAAGTCTCCTTCGAATTATCCAAAGTTTTACGCGAGACGTGAAATTTCGTCTCATCGTTTTGCTAAAGTCGTTTTATCGCGCTGGAAGAGTGTCACGAATTTCGTAAAAATCGGTACTTCACTTCTTACGATTCAGATAACCTTTTTTAGTACTGATAAGTTATCACGTAGCAGAGAAAAAAAATTCGTTCAGATAATGTGCTTGCGGATGCGATACTTTTATTATAAAGCGTAACATGCCACCTTTTTTTTCCGTCTAACATTTTCTTACAAATCTCTTTCTCTTGAACTGGCAGCAGGTAAAGTTTCACTTGGCGAGGATGATGTAGAAAGAAATTAATGCTTATGTCGTAAGGATACATTCAGTCTAAACCATCGTGACTGACCGATTAGATGGCGCCGAGATTTCGTTGAGAATTCGTCCAGTCTCTATCAGTCTCCCTGGTCTCTCGCTCAGGCTATCTCACTCTCTCGCGTTAATCCCTCCCTCTCGCAATTTTCTAGATATGCCAAATCGGTTTCAGGTCGCAAAGTGACCCTTTTATCGGTACTTATCGGCAACGTGCCACGTTGGGCATCTGCTACCGTTCCCAACAGAGCGACACTTCTTATTAACAGAAGTATCTATTAACGGCAATCTCAATATGAGATCTTTTGGTATTCGCCCCCCCCCCCCCCCCC